AATAAATGTATAATTAAATGATAAGAGTTCCAGCCATCAATGAATTTAACAGTCTTTAATCGTATAAGATATTTCTAATTACAAAGCAAATTTTGCTGATTTTATATAATTGAATACGAGGTCTTTCAATATGTTATTAACTTTTATCTTCCTGCTTATTATTGAATATAGTGAACAAAATCTAAAATAAAAAGCTTGATATTTTACACTGTGCCAACAGGTATCAGTTTCCCAGCTATCCTTCATGGTTGAGCATCAAGACCAAGCAATAGGATATGTGCAGGTCAAAATTTGAAATGAACAAATTAATGTTCTAAGAATTACAGCTACTTCTTCAAGGTCAAGAGCCCCTAGGTAGTCTGTGCCTTATGATCTCAAAGACAATGACTTTGACTTTCCCTGTGAAATAATTTTAATAATGCAGAACCAAAAACCTGTAATCAGCCTGAAGATTCTTAAACATGTCTTCCCTTGTCTATGATAAAGATTCTCAAAATTCTTTTGCACCAATTTTAATTATTTAAATCTAGGAAAGTCTGGCCCATGACATCATAGCCTTCTAACATAACTGGTGGTACTTGATTAACTGATAGAGGCACAGTAATGTATGTCCCTCAGAAGAAAATGCTGTCGGCTATTTAGTATGAGCACCTGTATAATATAAAACAGCAAAGATCCATTAAAATATTCAAAAGGGTTCCACAGAAAAGTACATGTGTTTGCTGAACAATTAATGACAGCTTAACTCAGTTAATTGGCAGAATGTTACTTTTAATAAAAGTGCTGGTTGCTTCTTAATGTGTTCTCCTATCATGTAATTTGGAAAATTAAAAGCAATTTATAATCTTTTAAATAGCCTTAGCCTCAATATAATTGGCAGGATATAAAGATGCAAGGAATTTAAAATTTTCAGAATTCAGTAAAACCTAAGAACCAAGCATAATTTCTTTATAAGAATACTAATATTATTTAAATGATTGTGTATATTCCAAGAGCCAGATTAATGTCATTGTGGATAAAAATAACAACAGAAGCCCAGATAAGACTCTTTCTCCTGTCTCCTATCAATTGAACATTTTCCTTTACACTATCAGAAGTCCATTGTTAAGATGATGACCCTGGGAAAAAAATAAGTCAGAATGATTTTCCCAGGGTCAAATGCCAGAGAAAGCAGCAGGATCAGGTCGAGAGACTTCCAAATGCAGATGCTCTACTTGCGTTTCAGCTCCTGTACCTCAAAATAAGCCCCACTATTCAGCTGGCTACTAGCTTCAGACTGGCGTTCATTGTTTCACAACAAACCAGCTCATTGGGAAAGAAGGCCATTTTTATTTACAAAATTATATGAAGCTTGACCTTTTTCCTTTACTGAATGAGGTTCTTTTGTTCCCTTAATTGCTTCTTCTGTAAGATATTAAGTCTGAGAGGACCTAAGTCCCCTGTGTTGATGAAAAAACTCATCTGACACTCGGGACTTACCAACTTCTCCTATTTGCCCACTGGGCTCAGATTCAGCTTGGGAAATGAAAGTGAGAGCAGCAGGCATCACGTAGGGGAGGGAATACTTTGGGCTATTCACTGACAAAAAAAAAAAAACCCATTAATTTACAGAGCCTATCTTTCCTAAGTTAAATGTACATGCAGTTGATTCAATAGAAATCTCACACAGAAAGGATGCAGGCAAAGAAACAGAGTAGAGTAGACAGATAAAGGCTTAAAGAGAGGCCATTAGCTGTTACAGCCTATACATAGGGGCCATTTGTGGACTTGTAGCTAGTAGGCACCCACACATCTGTGCCCTGTCTTCAGAAGGTACAGATCTCTAGTGATCAGTCACTTACTATCATTTCCCCAGAAAGAAAAAGTGTAAGCAGATATCCAGATTCTCTCAGTGAGTGGGCATTGCACAGGTCCCCTGCCCGTGATTTAGGCTTAAGGATGCAAGACATGGCTGACACGGATTGAACTGAGTAGACTAGCACTGCTAGGTTTCAGTGGAACAGTGCTTCTGTTTTTCATATGTGAACAACAGTAGCAGACTGGATGGAATGAATAATATTAAATGATTCTTAAAAGAAAATGAAAATAATCTTAAGCATGCAAGAAGTTTGAGAAGCAACCCTTTCCTATTTCAGTTTGAGAATTTGACTAAAAGACAGAAAATGCCCTGTTACTGAGAGTCTCAGTAGAGATTTATGACAACAGAGGCTGTGACCAAGTCTTAAGAATAAGGGAAAGGCAATCGCACAAGTCAAAGAATTATACATTTCTTCCCATGGGCAACTGCATTCAAAGTTAACAACTTCCCTTCATTAGATAGTAATCCTTCAGTGGAAATGGTAGGCTTTTAAAGGAACATTTCTATTTCAATTTTTAATAATAAAAAAAGCTTTCACTAGCATGCACAATAACACAGGTTGAAAGTAAGCTATTAGGCCTCGTTAGCTAATTATGGTATTGGCATCCACTTAAGTTAGCTGGTTTTTCACTTGGGTCATTTTCGTCCATTCAACTGTTGTGGTTCAAAACGTTTTGACTACATAAAAGGGAATACTTCATCGTTGCCTTTCCCCAGTCAAACTGCACACCACTTTCCCCAACCAACAGCTTCAATCATGCTCCATAAAATCCCCTGCAAGTGTCTTGTTGGAATCATAAATCAGCCAGCTGAGGCTTTAGTATTTCCAACGCGAGCCTGAGGGTCACTGGCTGGTAGGTTTTCATGGCTCCATCACAAAATAAACATACAAAAGAATAAACAGAAATGTGAGTTACACACGGTTCATTAAAAAAGGAAAAACAGCTCCCAGTGGTGTGCCGGATACTTGCGGCTGCACCCTTAATTAGAGAAGAAAACAGCAGCCTAGAGAAACTAGGCTCTGGAATAAGGACTTCTGTTTCCAGGCATCTTTGACTTCATTACGACACATGGCACAGCAATAGTACATGCTTGTTCACACAAAAGCTAGTTCCCCCGGATACTCAACTATGGCTCTCTGCATGTCATACCACTGCACTAGACAGAGAGATCTTCTTTACAAAGATGCCATCCTTCTGCCCTGTTTCGTTGACAGGGAATATGGGTTCCCCTGCAGGCATGCTTCCGTTCCACAGTTCTTCTCTGTAACTACCCTCTGCACTGATTATAAATCAGCTGAATCACAATTTCAAATAAATGTTCCATATAGAGAACCAAGGTGCATCTGTCTTTGTATACTATTTCTACCTAGATACTTAAACATTCCAGCCTCCCTCCTATCCCTGAATTCCAACACCCTTCGCATCAGCAATGATAAATGCACAGACTGGAAACCTGAGCTGATTTTCTCCAGACACAGGGTAATCATCAACCTGCAGGAACTTGTCCCATATTACTCTACACTACACTCACCTAATTGCATCTAAGTTACATTCTCAGCCTGTCTGTTCAGATTCAGACCGGTCTGTGTTATAAATGAACAGTTAAACACAACCAGCAGCCTTCCAAAAGTGACAGCTTGTATCTTGTCGTGCACACGGATATGGCATGCTGATCTTTGCAAGAGAAGTGACTGAATTAATGAACGAGACTAATATTAGCTTCAGATGAATCTATCTGCAATTTTTCCAAGACTAATATCTCCCATCCTATGTTAGAATAAGAAAAAGAGGAGCTCCTGACTGAGGCACTTTATAAATGAGAGAAATATCCGGCGTGTGCATTCTAACTTTGGAACATAAAAATCTGCATCCAATCGCGGTTCATCATTTACTAACACTGTAGTTTGAAGAGAAGGACAGAGAAAGGAAGGATTTTACATCTAAAATGCCAAGCCCTGCTGAAGAATGATAGAAGGACAGTGTGAGCAAGAGCAGAAACAATCATTTCTTGCTTAAAATGGAGTTCTACCACCCCCTGCTGGACCAAATGAGCAACACCGAAGAGGTGAAAAAATGCTTAGAATTGGATTTAGAGAAGATATTTTAACTTATCTTGAAATTTATTAATTTCATACAAAATGCAGCACAAACAATATGGCATTTTTATACTTTCCAACAAAATGAAAAACCATGAGTATTCCCATTGCCTTTAACGACTTCCACTATCTCACATTTTGACATTTTGTCTACCACATTAAATGTCCAAACTTGTCTGGACAGTTGAAAACCTTTCGAATGATTGTGAATATATTTTATGCGAACGTATACTATGTAAGACAAAAAGATAAATTCATATCTTCTGTACAGAAGGCTAGCAGAGATCGCTTCCATCAATTGTCCCTAGGGTTATTCTACACAGTCTTTTTTCCTCCCCCACCCAAATTAAAAAAAATGCTCCACAACCTCCCAAATCCCTTACAGGTGTAATTCAAATCGGATGTTAGAACGTGTTCGGATTTTTCTATATTCACAGGAGGGTGCGGGTCACAATGAATGCCTGCAACACAACCCTAGTTTTAGCCATTTGCTGTCTTACAGCATCTATGGCCCGTTAGTTTCCAACATAAATAAGCCATCAAACGTTCACTTCACAGCCAAGAATAGGTGTTGGGAAAGGAGAAAAGAATCTCCAAGAATTGAATTTCTTGCACACCACAGAGATTTTTTGATAAAAGACTTTAATGCTGATAGTTTTTGTCGCTTCTGTAAAACACCACTGTGCCCTTCCCTTCCGCAACCTCAGATATTTAACTATGAATACACACCAACAACACTCATCCAATTTCGGGTAATAAGAGAGAAAGCCAAAAATCCCAGAAGAAGAAGCAGTTTCCCCCGATCTCTCTCCCACCGATGCCTAGCTCCAATTCTTCACGGTCTCCTCTTATTTAAGGGTCCTTCGAGCCAACAGAGAAAATTTTAGGGACAGCCAAAAGAAAGAGCTAAAATCCTAACAGTCGCCCGGAGAAGCACGGCAACTTTGGTGCCTTGGTTCCATCGCTCCAGTGCCTCGCTCTTTGCCTCTCTGGGTTGGGTGGAAGGGGGAGGGAAAGTAAAGCCAGAAAGCCGCACACTCCTACCTTGCCCGCTACTGACAAGCAACCCGAGCAGGTAGAAGGAGAAGAGGAGGCTCATGTTCAGGACGTGACACCGGCGGACAGTTCCAAAGTTATTAAGTCCAGCCCCGGAGAGAGAACCTTCCGCTGCCACGGCCGCCTCTGCTAGCCCGCCGCTGCTCCTGGCTGCCCCAGCCGCCCGCAGCCCGCGCGCTCCTCCTCGCAAAGTGACTGCAAGCTCCGCGCCTTGCCGCACTATATCCAGGCAGCGGCGGCGGCGGCAGCAGCGGCCGCCGCGGCGGCAGCGGAGCCGGCGGGAGGAGGCGGGGGCGGGACGGGGCGGGGAGGCGCGGCCCCGGCGGATCCCTCCGCGCGCACACCGTCTCAGCCAGCCAGGCGCGGCCCCGGGATTCGTCCGCAGTGGAGCCCCCAGCCACGGGTTCGAGCTCAGGCGCTTCTAGCTTAGCGAGGCTGACGTGAGATGACCCCCGCGGAGAAAGCAAACCACATGGGGCGACGATGCCTTGCGCTCACAGGTCCTTCTTAGAACAGCGAAGCCGGCATATTTGAAGATTCATTTCTCTTCCAGCTCCCGCAGGTGCTTTAGGGACCCTCCTGCACTGTGGAGGGCGAGCCTCATTTGCACAGGGCTCAGAAGGTTGGGGAGGCAAGGGGCTGCTGTTGCATCCGTTAGTACCTTCTGAAGGTAGAAGTGGCAGGGTCTGTGTCTGTCGGGGATTTAACTGGAGTCTGGGCTGACCCACTCAGTGCTTTCACACTTCCCTGTGGAGAAGAGTCCTCTGGAGTGGGTTTCCTATGCGCTGACCATGATCAGCCCTGTGAGGTTAGATCTCCCCTTTAGAGTGTGAAGAGGAAATTCCTGGGATGTAAATGAAGGGATTGAGCTAGCATTCTTCCTCAAGTGAGTCACCTCTAAGCCCCACCACACAGCATCCCTCAAAACTGAGTGCCTGTGTCACCCACACGTGCTCCCAGTTCTCATAGGTGTGTGAGACCTGAAAGGAAAGTGTGGTGCTCTGGTGTGAGATCCCCTCACCCGAAGTCTGGGGTTGATCCCGATTTTTGCTGATGGAATAGGGAAACAGTGTGGCACTTTTATGTGACTCCTGAGACAAGAGACTGGTAAGAGACATGATCTGTGGCTTCAGGGCCCTTGTCTCCTCCTAGGGTCATACTGAACAATTGCAGCTGACAACAGGTTCTTCCGCCAAGCCCCTGCCCTCCCTCCTTAGAATGGTCAACTAACTCATCAAAGACTTCCCGTGCTTCTCTCATCAGCAAGGACTGAAAGAAAGGTCAAGGTAGAAGCATGGACAGGCTCAGAAAACCTGACCATACCCCCAAAGAATTGCTTTAGGAGGGCTGCGGTTGAGCAGATGGGGGCTAGCAATAATACTAGATAGTACAGTTCCAGTATCCAGAGAGTATAGTGTCTGTTATTTGCTCTTGTGGCCTGATTCATGGAGAAGATTGACTTTCTTAGTCCCTGGAGTAGGCTTTGTGGAAGGAGGTGAGGGGAAGCTTTAAGAATCAAAATGAGCCATGCTAAGCTCTTTGAAGTCACTCTGTGCTCCTCATGCTCCAGAACCTCAGGCTCCAGAACCTCTTCTGCATTTTGGGTTTATAGTGGATGCTGCAACAAGGGAGATCTTTACCAGGACACTACCCCTGCACCTTGTATTATTCCCGAGTTGCCCCCAGTGCATTTAGGGATCTCATAGTGAAAATATTCTAGGAAAGGGTGAAGTAATGTGTTTATAGGTGTGAAAAACTAACAACTAATAGTGGGGGGTTTTGTTTGTTTGTTATTTACATTTCTTGATTTTCCTAGGGCACTGAATGAATGCACACATGCAAAATCAACCATAGAAGACTCTTAAAAAGGTAAAATGGGTGACAAATAATCTCTTCCCCACGATGCTTGCAGGTTTTCAATCTGATACCTGCAATAGCCAAGTGTAGTGTGTACTAGCTCAGTTCAAGATCATGAACTCTCATGTGAATTCGCCTACAGCCAAGTACCTATTGCAGACATTCACAGTCATGTGTGTGCAAACGCACGCACACACACACACACACACACACATACTATACACACACAGAACAAGGACATACACTTAATAATGAAAGAAATATTGTTCTGCAAGTGTGTCCTTCTTTATATTATTAGGAGCCAATTTACTTGAAAGAAAATAATAGAACTATGACAGAGAACTATTTGATAGTCTGTAAAGTCACTTGAGTACCAGATTTCTTTAAGACATGGAAGGAGAACAAAGGAAGGTAGCAATGGTTCTTCATCCATTAGTGCAGCTTCTTACTAAATGTTTATATTATAATATTGTATCAAGAGCCCAAAATCTGTTGTGTATTTATACTGGTGTATTTTTGACAGAAGAGACAGATTTTCTTTTTTTTTTTTTTGTGTGTGTGTGTGTGTGTGTGTGTGTTTGTGTGTGTGAGGGGGGGGGTTAGTTTTTTTGTCAGTATGACACAAATTAGAATCATTTGGAAAAAAGGGGACTACATTTGAAAATTTGCTGTGTGGGCAGATAGCATGTTCTGGGCTACTGATGAAAACAGGCTAAGCAAGCTATGATGAACAAGCCTATAAGAAGCATTCCTCCATTCCATCTAGTCTAGCTCCTGTTTCTGCCTTTTTTCCTTGAGCTTCTGCCCTCAATGTCCTTTGTGATAGACTGTGTTTGAGTCATATAAAGCAATGATTCTTTACTCCCTGGATGATCATATCATGGTGCTTTATCACAACAATAAAAAGCAAACTATGTTGGTGTGGAAAAACTGATTGAACAAAATATTGTCCCTTAGTTATCTGTACAGGAAATATTTGATCCTCCCTAGATTTGGTAGTAATCTTGATAAAGAGGTCAGATATAAACAAAAATTATCAAATAAATCAGATTATAAACATATAAAGAATGATAAAGGGGAATTGCTATTATTGGTAAAAGAGAGAGGTAGGGGCAAAGAGGAGGAAGAGAGGGAGAGAAGGGAATATTTTCTAAGTAGCGTTATTAAGAATGGATTCAGGAAGAAAAGAGAGAAATTGGGCAGAATAGGCTGGACAAGGAGAAGCTGAAGCAAGGGCTAGAGTTCTGAAAGTACCCCGCCTGGAACATAGAACAAAGTATAAAGGAGACGGCTCAGTCTGTAAAGCAGTTCTCATGAGGTCTGACCACATCACAAAGGGGAAAAGCTGCACGTTGCAGCATGGGTCTGTTGTGCTCACACACTTTATGTAGAGACACAGAAGCCGTGAGTCTCAGCAAACTGGCCCCATGATCAGTGAAAGAACCTGCCTCAAAATGACAACCAAAAGAGAAGGTGGAAACTTGTGGAATCAGACACATGAAATCAATTTCTGGCTTCCGTATGTACACGGATATGTGCTGACAGATAGGTGAGCATATGCACACACAGGCACACACACAGAGGGAGATTTAAAATAGTACATTGTGTAAAACACAAAGTTGAGTTAGACTTAGTAAAGGGAGATAGTACAATGTTCTGCAAAAATCAAACAAAAAAAAATTCCCCAAACAAAGACCGCTGCATTTTCCACCATATTATCTATGAGTCAAACACTGCAGCTGAAGATGGAGCCAACAAAGGGAGATATTCACTTAACAAACACAGGGGTACAGATTCAAGTCATCGTTCACAAAAGGAGAAAATATATAAAAGAAAATGGTGAGCGTACCCAACCTCATGGTTAGAGACTAAATTACAAGTCATCATGGTGTCCTCCCTGCCCCAGAGGATTATCCACTCAAGGTTTTATGAGTGTTTCTTATTACCATCTAAATTGATCTTATCAGACATCCAGCAATCCGGGTGCCAAATAGTCCGAAAACTTTCACTATTTTTTATCCCAAAGTAAACTAGTGTATCTCATAAGCACATTCATTTCCCTCTTCACTGGCAGGGTGAGCTGCTTTTATTTGCCTGGGTCAGTTTTTCATCTGTCAACAGGTTGACAGTGTAAAGGTAACACCTAAAAAAATTATCTCTGCACACTGTCCCTGTCTTCAATCAGACAACATGCTTCTCTCCTACCAAGATAATTTGTCTACCAATATGGCCAAGCCATGCACACTGTGGACAATACAGACAGCTAAGAAATGCATCCCTGTATATGGCCAAAAATTTACAAGTAACACAAGGTATCTATTTTCTACCCACCTGAGAAAGATTTCAGAGGCATTTCACGGCGCTTCCATTATTTCATTTATGAAAAGCAAAGCAAGTTGAACAGAACTCAGGAATCTATGAAGAACTGAGTAGTAAACAACACCAACGGGAGGGGATGCATGGGTAAATGAGAGAAGATAAATTTGATTTAGAAGAATCAATAAAATGAACATGAAGGAGTTGCAGGGAGATAGAAAACGATAAGGTGCATTATATGTGGAAATTATCTTCTCAGGGAGATTCTCCCTCTTACATCTGCAATCTGTTCCTGCAAAAAGCATGCAGGAGTATAAACTTTATATAGAAGCTGGGTTTGGACAGTGTGCTGTGGGCGGTGTTTAAAAGTTGTGTTTATTTCCCGATCTCTGGTATTATTTTTGTTTACTCTGACTGTTGACAGAATACATAGGCGTCAAAATTATACTATTAGGAGATAGGACATTCCATGTGTCCGTTTATATTTTTAAAATGTCACAAACCATTATACCTATTCATTTACTTGTCTAGAAAATTGCCTGTTTGGGTTTTTCTATTACCACAAAAGAGGAAAAATGTGCACTGTGTGTACAGACAGATAGCCCGAGACCTCTGTAAATAGACAATCATGCTTCTGCTTCCTGTCTCCATTTATACCACTTGTTCTAATGATTATGTCTTTAAAATAATTTCTATGTCCTTATTGCTACAGTATTTTAGGTGTTTTATTAGGCTATTTCTACACATGTAACAGCTGATCTACAGTGGTAGAGTCAGATCTTAACACTTCCATTTGTAAGTGCTGTACTAGCTTAACGGTCCTTTTTTGAAATTAAGAAAAGGAAGAGGCAGACTAATGGCACGAAGGTTCCCTAGTCATCACGCATTCTTACTTTTTAATTTCTTTTAAAATGTATGGGGTCATATTCCTTCCTGGCTACTCCATGTTCCCTCTGGACAGATAATTTCTCACTTCTTTTGAAATTATGCAATAATAGCCTCCAATTTGTTACTTGCCGGAATAATATTTTCATAACTCTAAGGGGATATATTTTTCTTCATGAAGTCATACTTGGCGAATATAATGATGGA